GAAAACCTTATCTCTCCTTGCTAGTCTCTGGAATTCTCCATTCAGTTGGATATATCTTTCCCTTTCTGCTTTACTTTTTGCTGTCCTTCTTTCCTTAGCTATTTGCAAAGCCTCATTGGAAAGCCACTTTGCTTTCTTGCTCTTCTTTTTCTTTGGAATGTTTTTTGTTGCTGTCTCCTGTACAATATTGTGAACCTCTGTCCATAGTTCTTTAAGCCCTCTATCTACCACAACTAATGACTTAAATATGTTCATCACTCATGTTCATAAAGGATGTTATTTAGGTCATACCTGTATGGTCTGATGATTTTCCTTACTTTCTTCAATTTAAATCTGAATTTTTTAATAAGAAGCTCATGGTTTGAGCCATAGTCAGCTCCAGATCTTGTTTTAACTGACTGAATATACCTTCTCCACCTTTGACTGTAAAGTATATAGTCAATCTGATTTCAATATTGACCATCCGATGATGTCCGTGTGCCTTTTGGGTTGTTGAAAAAGAGCCTGGTCCCTGCCCTGCTTAATTTTATACTCCAAGGCCAAACTTGTCTGTTATTTCAATTATCTTTTGATTTTCTACTTTAGCATTCTAATACCCTATGATGAATATGACATTTTTTTCTTAGTGTTATTTCTAGAAGATGTAAGTTTTCATAGAACTGATCAACTTTGGCCTCTCTGGCATCACTGGTTGGAGCATAGAGTTGTATTATTCTGATATTGAATGGTTTGCCTTGGATTCAGATATAATTCTGTCATTTTTGAGATTATACCCCAGTATTGTTTTCTCACCCTTTTATTGACTATGAGGGCTATTCCATTTCTTCTAAGGGATTCTTGCCCACAGTAATATATGTAGTGATCACCTGAATTAAATTCACCTATTCCCATCCATGTAAGTTCACTGACACCTAAGATGTCGATGTTTAATCTTTCCACCTCCTGTTTGACCACATCCAGCTTACCTTGGTTCATAGATCTTACATTCCAGGTCTCTATGCACTATTGATTTTTACAGCATTGGGCTTTCCTTTAGTCATCAGACACATCTGCAGCTGAGCTTCTTTTCAGCTTTGGCCCAGCCCCTTCACTGGTACTAGAGCTGCTTGTACTTGTCCTCCACTCTTCTCCAGTAGCGTGTTGGCCACCTTCCAACCTGAGGGGGTCATCTTTTCATGCCATATCCATTATCATTTTAATACTATCCATGGGGTTTTCTTGGCAAAGATACTGGAGAGGTCTGCCATTTCCTTTTCCAGTGGATCCCCTTTTGTCAGAACTCCCCACTATGAGCTGTCCATCTTGGGTAACCCAGCATAGCATAGCTCATGGTTTCATTGAGCCACTCCAGCCCTTCCACCACAGCAAAGCAGTGATCCAGGAGTGGGGCCCCCAAGATATCCTCTGACTTTGGAGACTCAGGGAGCTGCTCTTTTAAAGTTCTACTTTCTCATTCTCCTTCCACATTCTCCCCTCCTTCCAGCCCCCATTGTCTTTCACTTTGTTTGTTCCCCAGCTTGGACCTTGTGGCCAGTTCCATTAGTGACATTCCACTGTATCTGCCTTGCTAGTTCCCAATTCTGAGGAACATCTTCTGTTTGTTTTTTCTGCTCCTAAGCTGCTCACAAATTGCAAGATAGTTGCTTGGGTTCACTAGATTCATGTTCTCTAATGGTAGCTGGACTGTCCTTTTATTTGTCTTTGGTCAAATTTCTGTCTTATCCCCTATGAGAGTTGCCCTCACCTTTTTCCTTTCTTCAGCTTCCAAACTTGATTCCTTTCCAGCTGACCTGGACTCTTAATTGTTTAATATGGAAGCTGACTTGAGTTCTCTATACTTCCATCTTCCCCCACTCTCCCAAGTCTCTCTTCATCATCATGCATCTTCTCCTCTTTCTCCTGGGCCTCCATGGATAAGAGGAGCTTCATCTTTGCCAAGACAAAGCCCTCCACCAACTTTTTTGGCTGTTGCTTCCACTTTCTGTTTCCTTCAGAAGCAGCTAGGTGGGTGCAGTGGATCATACAGAGAACCTGGAATCAGGAAGACCTGAGTTCAAATCCTGTCTCTGGCCTTGTACTAGTTGTGTGACTCATGGCAAGTCACAACCCCTGCCTCAGTTTCCACATCTGTAAAATGAAGATAATAACAGCACTTACCTCCATGGTTTATTGTGAGGATAAAATGAGATATCTGTGCTATATAAATGCTAGTCAGTATTATTCAAAGTCTTTCTTTGCCAATTGTCATCTCTCTCTCTCTGATATTTTTCAGCCTCTCCTTCTTTACTGTTTCCTTCTTCTCCATCTACACCATGCTCAACTCTCCCAAATCCTAAAAAACAAACAACCCAATCCAATCTTTTCCTCTATTCTGCTACTTCTGTGAGCTAACCCTTCTAACTTCTCTTCCCTTTTACCACCAGACTTCTCAAGAGTCATCTCCGCTTCCTTCATCACCTGCTTGTTAACCCTGGCTTCTATGCTTACTGCCCTTGCCAAACCATTCTCCCCAAGGTGCCCAAAAGCTTCTTCATTGCCAAACCCATCCTCATTCTCTGTAGCAACTACCACTGTTGCCTCCCTCACCCTGCCACCCCCCAGCCCACTCACCCACTCCCGCCACTCCTTACACTTCTTTCCTACCTGGGCTTCTATTATTCTGTCCCATCCTGGGCTCCTCCAACCTCTCTGAGCTACCTTTGACTTCTCCTAAGTCACAGCTCTGATTAGACCTATCTTGCTCAGCACCATTTAGCAGCTCCTCAGGGTCCACAAAATAAAGCCTAAACTCAAGGTGTTACACAATCTGCTCCAGTCTACATTTCTACCTATATGTCAGGCATATCTGAAAGAGTGCTGAGCTAGGAGTTAAGGCCTCTAGGTTTGAATCCAGGCTTGGACACTTACTAGCTGTGTGACTGTGGGCAAGCCACTTCACCTCTGTCTGCCTCAGTTTCCTCATCTGTAAACTTAGGATCATCATCTTTGCACCACCTACTTCACTACATTGTTTATTGTGAAAAAAAAGTGCTCTGTAAATTTTCAGATACCAGATCAATGGGACTTCTTACTCCATCCAGGAAGGATATTCCCCAAATATACTTTGTACCTGTTAAGATTCAAGTCATCCATCAAGGACTCATCCCAGTGCCTCCTTCAAACTTATCTGACCATACGAGTTGGGTCCTCTGGCTTTTTGTTCAGACTCCTATAGCATGGCCTTTGTGGCTTTCCTAGGGCATTCCACTCACTGCTTTGCATTAGCAGTATATAGACACTTGCTTTATTCTCCAATTAGACTGTGAGCCCCTGGATAGCAAGGGTCACCTCTTATCTATCTCTGTGTTACATCTTTAGCACAGGAAGTGTGCAGTAAATATGTGGTGAATGAAGATGAAAAGTATGAGCAGTATAATCTTTTAAAGAAATACTGCTCCCTCTCACAAGCATACTTATGCCTTCCAGAACCTGGAACACCTTTTTCTTAACCATACTATGCCCCTAAGCTGTCCCATCACTGACTCTCTCTCCTTTCTCTTCCTACCAAACTTTTGACTTTACCACTGACATTTGATTACTTTCATGTGTGTGTGTGTAAATATATATACATATACATACATACATATATATATATATATGTGTGTGTGTGTGTGTGTGTGTGTGTGTGTGTGTATTGCTTCTAGGTACAGTGGATTGAGCACCAGGCCTGGAGTCAGGAAAACCTGATTTCAAATCCCTAGTCAGACACTTACAAGCTATGTAGCCCTAGGCAAGTCACTTAACCTCTGTCTGTCTATAAAATGGGGATAATAACGGTACCTGCCTTAAAAGGTTGTTTCGAGGGTCAAATAAGCTTAACAGAGTGCTTGGTACATAGAAGGTATTATATAAATGCTAGCTGTTACTATTATTATCCTAACATACTTAAAAGCATTTCTGGTAGGTTAAAGATTATTCACTACAATCTTGTTTTTACTTAAGCCCTTATCTTCCAAGTTGGCTAACACTTTTCTTCCTGTAACTAACCTCTGCGCTTTAGTGCTTGGGATGTGCTTTCTCTTAAGCTGTGGGGATGTATTGATTGCACTAAGCTATCTACACTCTCTTTCCAGACTGTTGGCTAATCACCTTGGGCATATGGACATACCTTTGCCAGATGGATGGATGCCTGGGGTTATGGGTTATGGGTGCAGTGTATGGCCATGGAAGAGGATGAGACAAACAGGTGCCACCCAGCTGGACATGCACAAACAGCTCTGGGATCCAACCAGGTGAGTTACCCAGCTAACTCTGGCTTCAGACCAAGTCTTGCACAAATGATCACAACCACCCACCTCAGTGGGCTCAAAGGGAAAGTCTTCACAGAAGTGACGAGACTTCATCACACAGCACTCCAAAGATGATAGACATTTTCTCTAGAGGCAGGGATTCCAGTGTCGGCTCATTAGATTTTTCCCTCCAAGGAGAGTATGAAAGAGTCTAGCAAAGGTCTTGCTATGTACCCTGCAGAGTCAGGGGCAGTACATGGGTCTCTGGGGTCCAACTGCTTATCCTTAACTTCCTCATTATTTCCACCATTGCTTAGAAGATGTTCCCTAGGAGAGGTCCCTAAAGACACTCGATTGAATGCTCTCTTTTCCAGGAGTTTGGGGTGTTTGGGACCCTGATATGAGTCTTCCTGTCTCTCTTCCTTCTCCTGTCCAACCCATTTATCCACAGCTACCCTCCTGGGGAAGGAGGTTTTCAGGTAGTCAATGGAATCTTTGGGTAGAGACACTCTATCCTGCCAGAACATGGACTAGGATCTGTTGAGCTTCTTCTATTCAGTCTGGCATAGGAAGAGCAACACCTATGAGCCCTTTACGTGGGCCCAGTCAGGACTGGCCCATCAGATCTCAGAGGAGCCATTGCACATCTCCCCACAAGCCCTCCTGCCTTTCAGACGACCAAGGCCCTGGATCAGCATTGATGCCTCCCATCTCTCTCACCCCCTCTTTTACCTTTGGCAATTTTAATGTCTAGGGCTGTCCGGATCAGGGCCATGAGAGTAGAGTTGAAATGAACCGTGTTGTCATCTGCAACGGGCAAATCCATTCGCAGAAGTCTCTGCAGAGAGTTGACATAGAACCTATCAGCCCAGTGGCCCTCTCGTGGTCCCCCATGTCCTCAGCCCCCTTTAGAATGCATTTCAAAAACCAAAGAGCAGCAGGAAGAACTCTGTGGTTGGCCAGGTATCTGGAGGTTACCCATAGTCCCCATTTCTTCTGGTGAAGGGAGAGCCAGGCAGTGGCCAGCTCCTGGGCTCCTATCTTCTGTCTAAGAGGAGAGATCTCTCCTTTGTGATGGCTGCTTGAGCCCTAATGCCTTCTGCATCCTCTGCACGAGGCAGGGAATGCCTTCTGTCTGTAATCATTCTCATGAATCCAGCACCTGTGCCCTGCAATCCTTGTACCCACCCCGCACCATTACCCCCAGGTCTTCCAATGCCTTGGCCCAACAGAGTTCTCCCTGGATGGCTCTGTTCAGATCAAACTCCAAAGAAAAAGATAACATGTCTGGAAGCCTCACAGACCCATTTTTGGGGAGTACATGCAGGCAGCATAGGCAGAGGCAAAAGCACAGAGCACATGGGCCAAGGGATGGGTAGGAATACCCTCCAGCTTGGGCCAGGCCGTGTAAGATCAGACCAGACCATCACACGCTACATTCCCTCTGAGAAGATGCTCAGTGTGCACGCGGGTGGGCAGGCAGGTGGTTGATTATACAGGCCACTGGCCCTGGGGAGGAGGGAGGTGGAGCCATGCAGGACATGCAACGTGGAACACCAAGCACCACACAGCAGCCATGGACAAGGCGTCACAGACAGGAAAGCATCCACATGGAATCTCGAGACTCATTCATAGCTCCCATAGAGATCAGTACTCAGTGACAGGTCCAGATTTCGGCTCAGTGCAGTGGTGGGGGGTGGGAGTAGGGGTGGGGTCTGCTCCCTAGGTCCCAGGTAAGGGCACTATTCCAAGGTGCTAGGTGGTGTGGGCAGGAAGGATGGCCAGGTCAGGCTGTAAGTGGCATGGAGATGGTGTTGGGGTGTGAGGCCCACCAGGGGATTAAGACATTGAGCCCACTGTCCTTAGTGGAGCAGGTAGCAAGAAACAGGAAGATGAGGAATTAGGGATGGGAAATCCAGAGACATGAACCCAGCCAGGAAGGAGAGGGAGAGTCACAGAGACTATGAGGAAGAGAGAGAGACAAAGAGAAGAATGCAAGAGTGGGAGGCTTAAAGAGGGAGAGATGCGGAGGCAGAGGCAAAAACAAACATGCATGTGTTCATGGACCAGGAGAAGTAGAGAAAGAGCAAGAGAGGAGAATGAGATGAGACACAAAGGGGATGATGTAAAGTGGCAAACATCTCCAACGCCCAAAGGCGGATGGCATTGGCTGCCATGAAGCGGCGTGGGAGTGACATGGAAGAAGACAAAGTCAGGGTGAATCAGGACCCGAAGAGAAGGAAGGATGAATGAGGAGGGCAAGGGAGAGAAGCTATGAGACAGGCTAGAACTGCATTGACAGAGAAGGGGGTGGAAGGGACACTGTGAAGGGAAGGGAAAGGGAGCCAACCAAGGTTAGGACTATTAGGGTCGTTTGTCAGGGGGTGATTGTCTTTCTTTTTTCTAAAGTTCCAGAATTTTAGATAGTTACTGTGGCTCATCTGAAAAAGCTGTCCTTTGGAGAGATGGGAATCCCAGGGTCATGCAGGGCCTGGAGAGAAGGTTTACTTGAGGTTTGCAGGGGGGAAGGTTAGGGGGATGGGCTTTAGTTCAGAAGCCCAGCTGAAACTTCAGAAAGGTCCTGCCTCAAAGGCTGCCTGGAACTTCCTGCTGCAGGCTCTCTCTGACTGGGGGAACTCTTTTCTCCCTTCAGCATGCACAGGGCCCCATCATGCACATACCCCTTACCCCTGCCCCACCCTGGGCCCTTCCTGGGAGATGCAGCATGCATATCCACAGTGTCAGGGAGCCAGCCTGTCCTGGGACCCCAGCTTCGGCTTGCCCGTCTACTCTGGAACAACAAAGAAGCACATTCCAATATTGGGGGCCGGGCATCCAGGGGGCTCTGTAAAGCCATCCCTGGGTATCGGGGTGGATGTGTGTGTGGGGATAGGAGAGTGGGAAAGAGGGCTCAGATGATCATGGGAAATCTCCCTTCTTTCCTTAGCTAAGCATGGCTCCAGAGGATTGGAGACCTTCTTGGGGACCTCTCTGGGGTGAGCCAAGATAGTCCTGTCCTGTTCAATATCTCCATCTTGCCACAGGTTTTCTATGCCCTTCCCCACTTCCCAGGCCAGGGTTGAGGGCTGTACAGCATGTACCATATGTATGTATGTATGTATGTATGTATGTGTGTGTGTGTGTATGCATGTGTGAAGTGGTGGGGTGGTGATACTTGCTTTTTGAAGGTGAGTTTGCTTCAGGACAGTGATTGAGGTTCTGAGGGACTTGGGCTGATTCTCTAGGGGCCCCTCCCACCCCATGCTACTGGCCATAATGGAGTCTCTGAAACACAACACACTAACCAAAGAGGATGGACACAACTGTATTGGTTAAAGAAGATCATGACGATGATAATTATTTTGCTCGAGGAAAAAAAAAAAGGAAGTATCAATAGAAAAAGAGATCTGGTAGGTTGTCTTTGTCAGCATTTAAAAAAAGAAAAGTGACCTTTTTTTCCTTTGGTGGGTGTCAGATTTAGTCTACCTTATAAGCAACTCGGGCTGGACACTTCTTCCCCAAACCCAGGGGCGGAGACATGTGTCTGAGCATCTCATACATGTCCGGGTAAGCCATGCGGCCCCTGGCAGCACCAAAACAACAAAACCAGAACCGAAAACAAAAACAAAAAACAAAAAACAAAAAACCAAAAAACCGAGAGAGGAAAAAAAACACAGAGAGAAGAACCACACGAGCCAAAAAAATCAGGAAAAAATAGAGAGAGAGATGCAGAGAACAAGAAAATATATTTTTTAAACAAATTGAAAAGGGGAAAAAATGGAAGAAAAGTAATAAAAAAATATTACTTTACTGCTCGTTGTCAGAGAGAAAGAGAAAAGTCATGTTCGCTTCTGACTTTGATTTATTGGCAGATTGGCAGGAAGGGCCTTGAAACTCTCTACCAGAAACCTGGAAATCTTTTTTTTTTCTTTAAACTTGGGCAAAGTCCCACAGCTTAGAAGGGGATATCTTACTGGGAAAGGGAGGGACCTGGGAAAGAGGGCAGGACACGTCAGGAGTTGAGGGGAAAGGGAGTGGAGTCAATGGTGGAGTCGTCAATGCAGTTTTACTCCTCCCCAAATGGAAATCCATATTAATGCGACTTTGGTTTGGGGAGGGGGCAGTTGAGACCCTGGAATGTCCAGCTTCAGCTAACAGCAAGCAGAGATGGTGGAGGGTAACTTGAGATATATGCTCCATGCTTTTTGAGTCTAAGTGACTGCGTTATCTTAGGCATTCTGTTTGCTAAGAGGTCACTAATTAAATGCAAGATATATCGAAAGATGTATATATATATATATATATATGAAATATATATATTAAGAACCAAAAGCCACATTCATTCCGTTGATGCTAGCAGGTTTTAGTGGAAATCAAACCTTGCAAGCAACCCTATGAGGACATTTCTTGCCTAAGCCGAGAGGGGGAGATATAACACGCAATAAACTGTACATATCCTTATAATGAATCCGACCGCTGTAAGAAGAATACATCGGTGTTAGTGCAGATTCTAAGGGTCAAATACAACATATACATGTATACAGACACACAGCATCACACAGAGACGTCATGGGATCACAGCCACAGAGATAAATAACAGGGCTGGAAATTCCCAGCACTGGCTCCAGACATTTGTACCAGAGTAAAAGTACCAGAGTAAAACTGGAGAAATGTCACCACACACAAAGAGAGTGAGGAACGAGGGGCAATGAGAATAGTCTTTCTCGCCCTTAATTTTTACATTTCTGGCTAAGCAAGCACACTGATTAGCCAACCTAAGGGGACAGTCATCTGCTTGGAGACAAACTCTGTGCTCGAGCCAAAGCTAGTTCTGATACCCCGGCCCACAGGGGTAAGTAGACAGAGTGGGGCTGTGGAAAGAGCCCTGGGTTCACATCCTGCCTTTGTTACTTGTTAGCTGAGGGATCTTGGGATGATCCTTTTCTCTGTCTCTGGGCCTCAGATTCTTCATCTGTAAAACGAGGGGGTCAGACTAAGGGCTCCCTGAAGTCTCTAGATTAAAAATCAAATCTGTTTATACTGGCGTGCTTATGTGTGCGCACGCATGCATGCATACACACACACACACACACACACACACACACACACACACAAACACATACCCATCCCCTGAATGAATTGGGAAAGGGTGGTGGTGTTACAACAACAAAGCACAGTCGGGCTTGAAAGGCAACCCCTTCCTGGGCCTGCAGACAATCTGAATAGCCTCTCTGGGTGAGGACAGCAGAGGCAAGGGGTTAATGGTTATCAGAAAAGCAGTTGGATGCAATTCAACTGAAATGACCTAAAGTTAAAAGAGTAAAAGTTAATCACCAGCAAAAATCTAAGTCCATTGACCCTAATGGTTCCTCTAGGCCTGGCCAGGGTCCCGGGAGGTCCCTGCCTAGGGTCAAATAGCTTCTCAGGGGCTGCAGTAACAGAACATCCACCTCTTCCTGTCCCTGTCTAGCTCTCCTGGATGAGACATGAAAAGGTTCCAAAGGGCCAGGCATGAGAGGCTCCCAGTGGGGTCTTTCAAGGACCATCAGCCCTTGAGCTTAAGGCCCAAGGGGGGATGAGTGGGAATCCTTGCATGATGATTGGGTTGGGAATTTGGGGGCTATTGTACAGTACTTTACCCCTGTTTTGTTAAATAGAGGAGGGTGGTCTGGAGGAGAGGGGTGCTTGTTTTCTGGGGGGCTTGCCATATTAGTAGTACAAGGAAGTGGAGGGAGAAAGTAAAGGGGGTAGGGGCGTCAGCTTAGGGTCTTCAAGATGTGAAGCCCAACATCCTGCCAAAGGGCCCTCGGCCCTTGACATCAAAGGTCTGACAAGGTCTTTTAGCCTAGAGTTCAGATTTTGTGCAGGGTCAGGATCAGTCCAGATCCCAGGACAAGTCGGCACTTCCTCCTCCTCCTATGGGCCCTTCCACCTTCCCTTTAACCGGTCTGACCACGCAGGGCTGTTGCTTTGTCCCTACACCAAAATGAATGTTAATAGGAGTATCAGGTGGTGGCCAACCCAGCACCTCTCTCCTCCTAAAGAGGTGAGACAGAGGTCCTGGAAGTAAGCTTAGGCCTGTGGAGCCCAGCTTTCCTTCTCACAGCTCTTAACCTTGCCAGTGGAGCCCATAGAGGCTGGGAGCTAGGGGTGAGGCCAGAAGAGTTCAGATAACTTCTTACCAAGCTGCAGGATCATATTCAGCCCAGACACGCACATACTCATCCAGGTGGTGGGGGCCCAGGATGGAAGAATCTCGGGTGAGATACTCAAAATTGTCCATGATGACAGCCACAAAGAGGTTCAGCATCTGCCGTGGACCAGGGTAGAGGAAGCAGCTTTAAGTGAGAGCCCAGAACAAAAAGACCAAAGTGATCCCTGTCTCCGTCTACTCTTCTCCCCATCTGTCTTATAAATTCCCATTTCCCTTACCTTCATCTTGAGCTTCTCCTTTATTCACATCCTCCTACAGATTTCTTGATAATTCCTACCTAACCCTCCCTGCCCCTATCTCCCCCCTGGCAGAGAAAGCTACCCAAGGATCTCTTCCACAGAAAATGAGTGGGTGGGCCCAGCCTTCTAAGGCAGCTCCACATCTCTGAAGGAACCATGGCAAGCCTATTCCTCTGGTTGTTAGCCTATACTGCCTTAGATTGGTGTCATTTTTGTTTAGACTACCCTCCTACTCGATGATGAATCCCATGGGGCTGGTACCATGTCTTCCTTCTCTGTCCATACCCTAGAATGTTGCCAAGCATGGGGCCTTACATGAGGTCATTGATTAATCAATGTTTATGGAACGAATGAGGGATACTCCAGCCACAATGCAGCAGGACAGAAATGGTGCCCCCCCTTCCCATCCACCCCCATCCCCAGAGAAGAGTGAGGGCCAATGAGATCCTCTCCAGACTCACCAGAAAGGAACAGAGGAAGATGAAAGATACAAAATAAAAATAGGCAAACTCATTTCCACACTCGGGCTCCCTGATGCCAGAGTTCTTATCGCAGGGTTTCCCACTGAGGCAGGACAGCATGATGTTATGCCATGCTTCACCTGTGGCACTCCTAGGGACAGAAGAGAAGTCAGACCCTGTTGTGCTGAGGGAGCACCAGACACCTGCCCAACCCCTTCCTTGAACTTCAGCCCCTTTGCCCTGAATCACGGCCTTTCAGCCTTCCCCATAGTTAGGGTAGGAAAGGAGGACAGAGGACTCCTGATATCACTTTTTGTGTCTACTCCCAAAACACCACTCTAGTATTCACAGCCACGTCCAGTATTTGGCAGGCACAGACCAAAGTGCCGGGTCTCAGCTCAAGTACAGAGCTAAGGAACCAAAGAATGAAGGAACCTTACTTGAGGCCCTGTCTTTTCTCCTCTCCTCTGCCTCTGCTCTCCTCCACCAAAGAGGTCTGTATCGGGGTTCCTGTACCTCTCTGTCCCTCCTGCTTCTTCCCTGGAACCTCCATCTCACCTGAAGAGGAGCATCAGTGCCTGGAAGAAGGTGCGGAAGTTGTTGTGCTCCGTGATTTGGAAATCATCATCATCATTGTCTTCTTCTTCCACATCGATGCCAATGTTTCCAAACACCTAAGGGAGGCAAAGCATTCTCAGGGAAGAGGATTCTGTTACTCCCAAGCCTGGGGTCCTGGTCAGTACTCGGGAGCTTAGATTGGAGCCAGCCCTTGCTCTCGTGGGGCTCACAGACTCAGGCGGGGCAGGGAGGGGATAAGACTTCAATGAACACAAGATAAACGCTTCAGGGAGGTGCAAAATGAAATACGATTCTACAAAGGACAGGAAAGATGAAATGGAAGATAAGTGATAACGTGGGAAATATAGATATCTGGGAGGATTTCCTGTTGCGATAACCCACTAAGGAAAACAGTCTGTCAAGAATCCCAAGTTAGTAGGAAATCAACTAGAGGCAGCTGGTGGCGCAGTGGCCTAGAATCAGGAAGTCTTGGGTTCAAATTTCACCTCAGACACTGACTACCTGTGTGAGCCTGACCTCGGGCAAGTCACTTGCCTGTCTGCCTCAGTTTTCTCACCTGTAAAATGGGGATAATAACACCACTCACCTCCCAAGGTTGTTGTGAGACTCCGGTAAGACAATATCTGTAAAAATGCCTGTCTATTGTCTGTTGGTGTTATAGAAATGCTTATTTCAGAAATATTTTTGAAAAGAATGATACTCTGATTTTACATTTCTCTGATGTGGATGTGATTGTAAGTCAACAGATTATAAAGATTAAGCCAAGAAACTGCTAGAATTAATGGAAAATTGACCTCAAGCAAGACTACCTCCAATTTCTTCCCCTGGAACTCAGTTTTTATTTGTCTGAATTAACCCTGTGCTTCTTCCGGCAGTCAGCTGAGCCACTATGCAACCAACATCATGTAGTGGACGGGGTCATTAAGCTGGAGGCCCTCTTAGATGGATAAGACAAGCATTCCTGCCACATAGCCTTGCGAGGTATGAAGAGGCAGATGACTACTGGGGGGGATTAGGGAAGACTTCATGAGGGAGGCAGCATTTGATTTGTGCTTTAAAGGAGGGACAGGAAGTTCAGCAAGTATGGGGGTGGGGAGGGCATTCTAGGCGTAGGGAACAGCCTTTGCAAAGGCATGGAGATGGTCAATCATGGAGCTGTTCATTGTCTAGAGCATACATGATGTGTGTGAGTAAAAATGATATGAGATAAGATTTGGGTACATCTGACCAAGGGGAAGCCAGCTGCTGCATGAGACTGAGTGCGAGGCCTGCACACTCCATTTTACTAGTCTCTATGACCTTGCAGGTCACTGGTCTATCACTAGGAAGACAACATTTTTTGTTGCTGTTGTTGCTGTTGCTGTCATTTCTGTCATGTCTGACTCTTCATGATGTTATTTGGGGGTTTTCTTTTTTTTCTTTTTTCTTTTTAGGCAATTGGGGTTAAGTGACTTGCCCAGGGTCATACAGCTAGTAAGTGTCACGTGTCTGAGGCCAGATTTGAACTCAGGTCCTTCTGACTTCAGGGCCAGTGCTCTATCCACTGAGCCACCTAGCTGCCCCCTAATTTGGGGTTTTTTTGACAAAGATCCTGGAGTGGTTTGTAATTTCTTTCTCCAGCTTGTTTTACAGATGAGGAAACTGAGGCAAACAGGATTAAGTGATTTGCCCAGGGTCACACAACTAGTAAGTGTCTGAGGCCACATTTGAACTCAGGAAGATGAATCTTCCTGACTCCAGGCCCAGAGCTCTATCCAGTGTGCCACCGAGCTACCAGAAAAACAATGTGGTGTAGTGGAAAGGAGACTCGGGCAAACCCCACCCCCTCTCTAGGTCTCAGACTTCTCATTTATGATGAAGTCGAATTAGATTATCATGTAGATCCCTTCCAGCTCATCCCCCAGTTTCCAGATCTAGCATTTTGCTGTCCTTACTCTGCATGAAGTAAATGGGAAATTCCACTCCCCTAGAAGGGGAGTTTTAAGAGGAGGAGGGAGGAAAGGATACCCCACTTCGGGGTCAACAGAGGTTCTTGCAGAGAATTACCCACAACTCACCTGCATCCCTATGATGGCATAGATGAAGAAAAGCATGGCAATCAGAAGGCAGACATAGGGGAGAGCCTAAAGAGAAGTCAGGTGAAGACTTTTAGTTTCCTTCCCCCTATGATGATCCATACCTTCCTGACTGAGAACTACATCTTCCCACATCCTCCCTTCTTAAACTGTGGGTCGAGACGCCACATACCCACAGTCGAAAAAGCGCCGAAGGGTCGCAAGTGGGAAAAGTTTAAGAAGCCCTGCAGTCTTCTCTACATGAATGATCTCAATCTGTACTTTGCTTAGACCAAATGTCTCTAGGTTTGGACAGTGCAGGTTAGGATCTGGTAGAAAGTGAAGAAGCAACAGAGGAAAGGAGAGCCTCTTGCTAGGTTTGGACTCTGGAATGGCTCAAAACATCCTTGGCTGAATTAACTCAGTATCACTGTCAGTGCTCCTGAGGGGGGTCTTCAGAAGTAATGCTGGAGCTTTGCTAAAGACCTAGCCTCATATTTGGTATTTTCTCATCATTACTTCTACCTCTTTCACGGGAGTAACTGGTACCGGCCTTCTCAGTGTAAGCCAGACCTGGGGGCAACCCCTCCCTTTGTCCTCACAATCCCTTACCTTGAAGGACTGTACAAAGGTCCAGAGGAGGATGCGAATGGTATAACCCTGGCGAAGCAGCTTGATGAGGCGGGCAGCCCGGAAGAGGCGGAGGAAGCTGAGGTTGATAAAGTTGTTCTGGGAAGATGGAGAGAAGGCGTGACCATCTGCCCACACAAATAGGCCCCCAAAGCCACTCAACCTCTACGTCAATCTGGACAGTGCCAGAACCCAAAACCAAGTAGAGAAAGCAATCTAAACCCCAACCAAGAGGGAAAGGAAAGAAAGGATGAGCCAACACAATGTCACTAAGGAAAAGCTTGAAAGGAAGGGGAAAAGCAAGAGAGAAAGGAGGCAGGGAAAAAAAAATTCAATAACTCAAAATGGAAGCCACTTGCTAATACCCTCCCACCTGCCCCAACCCTGTAACCCGTAAAAAAAGGAAAGAAAAAGGAAGAGAAGAAAAGGAAAAGAAATAAAAATATTTGAATCATCCAATCAGGAAAAAAATTATTATGGTTTTTGTTTATCCCAACAACCAAATGCACTGAGACACTAGGACACAAGCAGGTAACGTCGCCGATTCTCGTCACACATGTACGATGCACAGACACCAAAGAGAGGGAAGCCAGCAAGCTCAGGCCTGGTGGGCTTGTGCGTGTTACATGTGCATGTTACGATCCGGGCCAGAAATGCATCAGTCACACGGACTCAACAGGTGCACTGCACGGCACAGCACTACGCGGCGTGGCACTGCCCACCCCGCTCTGGCCCGCCCTGACCTCACCCCCAGACGATCAGCCAAGGGCTGAGAGCGGCAGCGCTCGAGCCAATTGGGAGAAGCAGAATAGGATCTTTTCTTACCCCCTTGGCGAGCGGGGATGGGGAGGACAGAAGGGAGCCGGGGCTGTTCGGCTGCAGGGTGAGTCCTCGCTGCCCGGTGAGTCCGTGAAGATGCATTTTTGGCCCTTTTCCCCCCTCTCTGGGATGGCTTCACAGCTTCTGGGATTGGGTGGAGCAGCGTGGGACCAAGCCTGCAGTAAGCGATGGAGCTCCCATGGGTGTTGTGAGCTTGGAAATGTCCCAGGCTGACAGAGGGGGTGGGTGCTGGGGGCAGGGAGTCTGAGCCATTCCTGCCACCAGCACCTCCCCTGTCAGGCCCCTCCCTGCCTTGCAGTCACAGACCTTACTTGAGGGCCCTGCTCCCTAGCTGCCGCCACCACGTCTCGCTGCTGCCTCCTCCTCCTCCTCCTCCTCCTCCTCCTCCTCCTCCTCCTCCCCACCCAAGCCAAAACCCAGGCACCAGAGAAACACTTTGATTGGCAAGGACCATATATGAACAGGAGGGGATCTGGTAGGAGAGCTCCAAGGTGCACCAATTCAGTGATGCAAGAGAAGCTGCGTCCTTAGGGAACAAATAATTTCCTGGACCAAGCTGGGGGCCTTTGGGACCCTTGTGGCAGGAGTGTAGATGTATGGGGAAGGATGATTATCCTAGTATTCCCTCATTCCCCACCCAAGGCAGGTCCCATAAGCTGCAATTCTTTCCAGTACTTTGCCCGGCTTCACTGCAGCTGGCTAGCCATTGAGGAAGAGAAGGAGGGAAAAAAGATAAGGAAGCAACTGCTTCCTTACTTGGCTGACAAGAGTGAGTTCAGCCCCCAAATTCATATGGGGATGTGTTGTAGGGGTATGTGGGTGCAAGCAGGTGTAAGGGAGGCAGGCACTATGGGTTTTTGGGGGGATGGGCTGGGGCAAAAGCAAGAACAAAATGTGGGAAGTATGCCTCAGAGATAACTGGAGTAAATAGTCTTTCTGCTCTATTCTTGGAGATGGGCATGAGGAGGGTGGGATTCAGGGGAGGGGAGGTGGAGAAGAGCCACCAGGGCCGATTGAGGGCAGAAGTAAGTGCCATATGGTGCTAGGCTAGCCTTGGAAATACAACACAAAAGTCCTGGCCTCCACTGCTTTAGCAATCCACTCAGCTTATGTAGGGGAAGGCCATTTAAAGCCTGTTAAAGGACCCCACTTTTAGTCCCCACTTAACTGGCACACACCATTCATCACCCCCAGGGAGCAATCTATTTATTTGTAAGGCTGGGTTATGGGAACTTTGTAGGTTAGCTTTGAGCAGGGCCCTTGGATCTTCTCCAGCCCTCCACGTGCCTTTCAGAGGTCTCCAGCTCCAAGAGACTATGCCAACTGCCTCAGGCACACTCATCAGGGGCACAGTGGAGGGGCATCAGCTTCAGCACCCTAGCTTCCTGACAGTGTCTGCGAGCAGGACTTAGCCTTTAGGGAACTGTTACGGTGCCTGCTGGATTCCCTGAGCTGGTGCGATGAGACAAAACACACAGCACAAATACCCTCAGTCTCCATCAACACACTAACGCAAGCCAAGGGGAACTGGGCATAAAGTTAAGCTGAAGTTGCCTTCAGCTCATGTAGTGGGTGGGACATGTGGGACAAACCCCCCAACTCTCTAGTCACTGTACAGCTGGAACCTCAGGACAGTTCCCACAGAATTGGACCTGACCACCCAGTGGACCCTGTCGAGGCACTTCACCTGGTGGCCATTTTTCTCTGCCCCCTCTTCCACTCCCTCAAAGACCCTTCCCCTCCTGTCGATCCCATAAGTGCAAGCCATCCCTTCCATGGGTGGAGCATAACATGTGGACTCTGACAGAGCATGCAGAGCAGCAGAAGCTCCCACAGCGGGACAGCGAGCCCAGGCAGGGGCAGGGGCAGGGGCAGGGGCCGGGCAGGGCAAGAAGTTTTCAGTCAGCTGTGGTGATGCTGGAAAAGTCATGGAACAGTCCCTAGGGAGAGAGGCATGCAGAAAGTCCACCGCCCACCTTAGAACACAGCAAGAGAAAGACACACAGGGGTCTAGAGAGAGGACTAAGGATGGGGCAAGTGAGGCCTGGAAGGGTGAGGGAAAGGCAGAATTTGAACCTTACTCATCCCTTATCCTCTTTTCCTGGGTAAACGGATTACAGACTCTCAAATTACCCCCAAACCTACCCACTTTATTGCTTCTCCTAATCGCCTGGATAGCCCCTGGTTTCTTTTGGACACTCCCTGCCTCTCCTCCACATTTCTCTATCTTTCCTTTGGCTAGACCTATGCGCTGAGGGGGGGCTGGAAAGCTTGGGCACAGGGAATATGAGGAGGTGAGCCTCTTCCTCCTCCTCCTTCTCTGTTCTCTCTGCCATCCCATGCTCTTTCTCTTATCTGGCCATGTGCTTCCTGGTTCTAGTATGGACAGAACCTGCTTCGATATCATGAGGCAAGACTCCCATGGTATTTCCTGCCCAACCACAAGCAGGAAGCCCCAGGAATCTCACACCCTATGAATGGTCAGAGATTTCAGGCCCTGATTCTGCTTGTCTGAGAGTTTGGGACAATATCTGCAAGGAAGCTTGGTATAGTGGATAAAATGCTGGATTTGGGATCAAGAAGGCCTGGGTTTGAATCCTGCCTCAATCACTGTCTAGCTATGTGACCCTGGCCAAGTCACTTAACCTCCCTTGACCTCAGTTTCCTCATTTGCAAAATGGAGATAATAACATTTTCCTCACAGGATAAAATGTGTTGTGAGGATAAAATGAGATAATATATATATATACATATATATATATATATATATATATAAAGTGCTTTGAAAATATTAAAGCACTATATAAATTCTTATTCTTATCATTTCGGGGCCCACCTAGCCTAGGAGAGTTTTGCTACATCAACTTTGTGCCCTAGCCAGGATGGGAGGATGGGCACCTGGGTTTCTTCTCCTCATGCTGCTTCCTTCCCTCTACTTCAGTCTGTGGTACTCTATGTGTAAAAGCAGTAATGGCTTCTTTCTGAAGCTTCTAGCTCCACACAGCCCCGGTTGTAGACCTAGCAGCTTACATGTTTCTCTTCCCCAGCAGAGGTAGCCAAACTTGGTGGAAGCTTTGGGTGACTAAAGGCTATGGTGGGAAGGCCTTAGAGTGAGTCAGAGTGGTGGCACCAACCCCACTGTAGAGATGCAGACCCCTCAGATTACCTCAGGTATCTCTAATGATAAGCTGCCCCAGATAAAAGGAAGGGGAGTGGGCTCCATCATTAGGGGAAGGAACCCTGGCAGAGAGACAAAAAGAACAATGGGAAATAATTTAAAGAGTTTCCTTTTAGGACTAGGGGTGGCACTTAGGAAAAGGGAGGCATATGCAGGCAGCAAAGTGAGACTCCTAGAAGAACAGGAAGCAGGCTGAATATATGGCATGACAATGTGGGGATTCCTAGGATAGTGACAGGCAGCAGAAATGGGGCCTGAGAATATGTGCATTGTGGGCGAGCGAGTGTAAGAGTCGGAGTGTCAGCATGTTTGCAGATAAAGGAGTATGTACAGGAGGAGGTAGGGCACCAGGGAAATGTGTAAGGGTGCAGCCTGTAGCTGGGCAGGCATCTGAGTGTACATTCCAAGGGGCTTCCTTTATGGAAGTGTCCAGGCAACAGGGGATCTGGGTGCTCCCCTCATCACTGCCTTGATGTTGCCAGCTCTCATCCAGGGCGGGCTGGGCTGTGGCTCTGCCATCCCATGCCCTTTCCACCCAAAAGCCAACTTTCTTCTTGTCTCTTCTCTGCCTCAAACCAAGTCTTGGCACATGGCCAAAGTCCCTAGCTCAGGGGACACATATGGAGAATCAAAGGCCAATGAAGGCTATATTCTTTGTCAGTGGGAGCAGGTGAGGAATGAAGAGAGAGAGAGAGAGAGAGAGGAAAGTTAGCTGTAGCACAATTAGTGCAGTATGTGGGTTATGGGTATTAGAATGTGCCCAGGGAACACAGGCTTTGAAATCAGTCTAAGAGTGAATACCCTAGCTATGTGAGGGTACTGGATATGGGTGTGTGCAAAGGAGTGTTGATACAGGGCATGCACATCACGGGATGGCTCTGTGGGGATGGTATAGCAGATACTAGGGTGCTCCCTTTAGTGAAGAGTCCAAAGAGGATTCATCTCCTGGGCACTCTTAGGGGCTTCTGACAGTCAGGAGACTAATTTGGGGAGGGAGGGGCCACTTTAAAAACAACCAAAAGAACACAGAATTCAGACCCAACAAAGATCAGAACAAAAGGGGCAAGAAATACATACAGATAGACACACACACACACACACACACACACACACACACACATATACACACACAGAGAAATAGGCAAAGAGTAAGGTGGTGGGGAGGTGGGAAGGGTGATGCGATTCAGGCTGTCCAAACGCATGGGCCATGCAGTGCCGAGACAAGAGGATGCTTTCCGCTAATGTAAGGCATTTAGGCTTCAGAAAGAAGTAAAACCAACCGGATCCTAGATGTAGATGTTGAAGATGAATGGGGGATTGGGCGGGGGCAGATGGGGAGGTTTATTCAGCATTTTAGGTTGATTCGTTACCAGTGCCAAAACCCAATGGATTTCGGTTCCAAAGAGGGGGTGGGGCAGTGGGTTTGGGATATAGTCATTGGTGTATGGACACACAGACCAGGTCATGGATGGACACATGAGTTTCATAGTGCATTTTGATTGGATGAGTTTTTCAGACGGCGTTGTGCATTGGCACATACAGTATAAAGAGCGAGCATGAAAAGAGACAAGACAAGAAACACAATCATTATATACTGCACACGAGGCAAACCAAAGTCACCCCCGGTCAATGTCAGCATTTCATCCTTATCCATCTAGCCACCCCCACCTGTCTTTGTCACTGGGTGAAAAGGGGATACAGTGTGGCTGGCTGAACTGAGGGACTTAAGACACCCAAGGCCCAGGGTCTGCCACCTCCTAGATTCTGATTGGACCAGGCAGATAGCTCTCCACTCTGCCATATTAGGCTCAGCCCCAGTGTTTGACTGGGAGAGAATGATGGGATGAGTTTACCCCATGGAAAGTTGTTTTCACAGCCTCCAACTGGAGGTTGAAAGATTGGGTACCTCCAGCCAAACTAGACTCTGAGAGGGCATGGGGCACCAGCAGATATGCCCATATTTTTCTCATTTCAGCAGGTGAGGTTACTTTCCAAAAATGGTTCTTGTTAAGGGTAGTGACAGCACTGTCACTGATGATAATCACACAAATACCAGTGCATTGTTTGGTCCCCCATCCTAGTCAGTGGCCCTGCTCAGGTTTGGCTCAGCTGATGGGGACAGTTTGGTTATCTAGACTTTCAGAAACCAGAGTTCATCCTGGTTGCAACAGTTGAAGTGGAACATCTCCCATCAGCTGCATAAGGAACGGGAAAAATCAGTCAAATCCCCCTGCCCCTACCCTGCCTCCCAGCCAAGCCCGAGGACCTGGGTCTTAAGGCTTAGCCTTACCTGCATGCTCTTCCTTCCTCTTCCCTCCCCGCTCTCTCCCTAAAAGGCCATTAGCTAGTTGGTTTGGGCTGGGACAGCAGTCATATGTATTGAAGGTAGATTTCCAGATGGGCCTGACAGGGAAACCTCAGGCCACTTGGAAAACTTCAGGGTCAAGGAGCTGGTTCAGGAGGAAATTGCTTATAGCCCTCAGAATACATATGCCCCATTCTGCAGTTGTAGAAGGGAGGCACACAATGTATATGAAAATAGTAGCTATAGATTTCCAACTTGAGATCTCTTTTGGGTAAGAAAAGACCCTCCAGAGACAGGAAGCAGTGGAGATACTTGGGCCAGGTGGCCAATCTTTAGATTGTATTTCCTCTGGTGTGGGTCCTAAACAGGAGAGCAAGGGGCTGAATAAGGGTTCCTGAGAAGGAATCTACAGCTGAGTGTTATGGAAAAGGCAGGGCTGAGGAGGCTACTCTTTATCCTGTCCCTTGGAACAGAATTGACAGCACCTTTAAACTAGGAAACAGACTAGGAACAGGGGGAACAGACTCAGCTACTTTTAGGGGAATGATCCCTTCTGTAAGTGTCCTATGTCCTACTGACCTCTCAAGATAAGGAGATAAGGCACGTTCGAAGCAGCTTCCCTTCCCCTCCCCCCCATTCCTCCCAGTTCTTTCCTAGACCCGTGGAACAATCAGCATCACAGAATGATGGGGTAGGGGTGGAAAACGTTCACTTTTGCTGCACAGACACACTTGGTGGAAGTAGTGGGGGACCAAAGGCCATTATGGGAAGGCTCTTAAAAGCTGCCTTCTCAGCTGTTCTCAGGAGTATCTGGACATTTTTTCTACTACTTTCTCCAGAGTTCAGAGCCAGCCTGCTCAAACCTGGGCCTCACCTCTCTCTGCAGTCCCCCCAAACTGACTACTTAAGTATCTTTGGTCTTTGTAGTCTCTGCCCTCCTCTGGACTCCGTTGCCCGATAGGCCTCATCTATGTTATTCCATCCCTTGGGTGACCCCAGTCCTAGGATCACTGGCAAATGGCCAAAGAAAAAAGCCAGCAGAATTACTAGGCCCTTTGGGTTTCGCCAATTAGACCAGCTAGAAAAATAAGAGTAGGGGAGGGCATCTCGGTGGGAAAATGCCTTAGGATCATGAGAGTCAGAGCTGGAAGGGGCTTTAGAGAAAATTCAACCTCTTTATTTTATAGGTAAGAAAACTGAGGAACAGAGGTTAAATTATTTTCATAAGCCTATATTGGGAGTGAATAGACATGGGATTGTAACCCAGGTCCTCTGGTTCCAAGTCTCTGCTCCTATTATATCACAGTCGCTTCTTCCAGGTAGGATGTTACTTAGGCTCAGCGTAAGTGGGGGATGAGCCTAGTTCCTCTTGAATCCCCCAAATCACATTGGGGAAGAGGGTAGGTTGGCACCAGGGCAGGGGAGGTAAAAATGGGAAGAAGGAAGGGTATTTTATGAGTACTCCCTGCTGACTAGGAGTAGGTAGGACACCTAAGGAGATGTCCTGCTCTTTGATCTGGGAGTAGCAATTCCCTTTCCCAGGACCTTATAGGGATACCTGTCTGATGTCAGGACCAACCATTGTGGTCCACAGGGAGATTATCAGTCTCCATGGGGAGATTATGATAAATGCTCCACTCCAGGTTGGCTTCCTCTGTCCCCTCTACCTCCCAAGCATCTGTACACAATATAGGCTGGGAAGGTGGTCTCATGACCTTTAAAAATCCCTTTCAACTCTCAGAATCTATGGCTTATGAATGCAAATTGCTTTTCATGTGACTTCTGGTCTCACATCATTGAGAAAGAAGTGAGAAAAAAAAACAAAAAAAAGCTCTCATCCTTTCTTCCTAGACCTTGGGTTTCTTAGCTGACCTCTCTGCATCCTTTTAAGTGAGCACTGACATCTCATCCCTTTCCCTCTGTGCCCTTCTTAGCTCAGATGGCTGAGGAAGCCCTGGGCTCTGGTCAAGTCCTAAAGCTCTCTAAGAAACCACTCTTGGCCAGCTGGGTAGCTGTAGGCTTCCTTGTTGGCCTTTCTTGCCCTATTCAGTCTGACTTTGCCCAGACCAAGGGATTGGCCCTAGGAGCCTTGCTACCTCACAGTCACAGCCCAGAGAGGAGCTAGTGTGGCACTTACCCCAAACTCGGTCACTAAAATATCAGTGATACTGCCCAGAACTGTCACAAAATCAAAGATATTCCAGGCATCCCGGAAATAATTCTAGAGAGAAAAAAAACAAAAGAAAGACAAGGAGGACAACCAGCAAGAGACCAACCACACAAATAGTCACAGCAAAACTCAGGTATGGCCAAAGCTCCAGCACTGAGGAGGAGAAGGAAAGTTGGACTGCCCCTGCCTCCCAGGCCACAGTCTGTCTGGGCAACCTTTCCTTTGCGTGTGTCTCCAGAGCACAAGGAGGGTCTGTCAGGGGGCTGCTTATAAGGTTCACAGAATTCTCTCCCCCTCCCCCTCCCCCTATGGATGCTCTGGGCTCTTCCCCAGCCCCCTGACCTTTACTTCCAGTCAATCCCAGCCTATTAAATACAGAAAAAAGGCAACAAGAAGGCTAGAATGAAATAAGGGGCTATGATGGTGGTCCCAGCTTGAAGGATTCCAACTCTTTTGAGACATACAATAAGCTCTTGATTCCCTGCTCAGTTTGAGGCTTATTAGGGGCAAATGACTTCTTCCTGAATAGTTTCTCCTCTACCCAACTCCCCTTCCTGACCTAATGTGTGGGCAGCTTCTCCTCTCTCTGTAAACCAAATACAGGATAATACAAGTTCATCTTTGCCTTTACCTGTGCTAAATATGCTTTCAAATGTTCAATATAATCCTACAAGGCAAAGTGGCATAGATCGAGACTCTCCAGGGTTCGGAGTATTTTGGTCACTGCTTACTGATTCCAGAAAGCCCCATGAACATATTATCTATCTATTTGTCCATCCGTCTGTCTGTCTATCTATCTATCTACTTATCTATCTGTCTATCCATTTGTCTATCTATCTATCTGTCTGTCTGTCTGTCCATCTGTCCGCCCATCTGTCTTCCTGTCTGTCCATTTATCTATCTATCTATCTATCTGTCTGTCCATTTGTCCGTCCATCTGTTTATCTATCTATCTATCTATCTATCTATCTATCTATCTATCTATCTATCTATCTATCTATCTATCTGTCTGTCTGTCTGTCTGTCCGTCCATCTATCTATCTATCTATCTATCTATCTATCTATCTATCTATCTATCTATCTATCTATCTATCTATCTATCTA